ATATATATATATATATATATTTATTACACGCATATTTGTGTGTCTGTGTGTTTGTGCATGCGTGCGCGTGTATTTCATTAGCTTCATTTGACAAGAAATTCCTGGATAATAATATATCATATTGGAAAAGCAAATATTTATGTGAAGTACTCATGTGATTCAAGAAAATATAGTAATAATTGAATGTTTATTTACAAACAACAGCCTCTAATTTGAGGACTAAAATTTATCATATTTGATTTAAATTCTTATAATATAAAGAGAATTATGACTAGAAATGTTTCTTTTATTACGAATGAAAATAGCATTTACATACACACCACCGAGTAAACACATCTCACATCTAAATTATACTTTTTTACAATTATACCAACCAAATTTTTTAAATCTCATTAAAAAACTCACCATTTTAACTTTTAAAAGGGGAAATACACCTTTTCATGCATAGGTAAGGTGGTATGTATGTAAAAGTTGAAGTTTATGTGTTACTTATTAGATATGTATATACATAGGAATTGAGTGGTATGTATGTAAATCTTCTTATTAAAAGATTTTAAAACGCTCCACACGAAGCAATTTAATGTCATTCATTCAATTTTGTTCAACTTACATTTAAAAGAACCTTGATATTTCACTAAAAGAAAATTGCTAGAAACAAAATATCATAGAATTGATAACATGTAATCATAAGCTATGCAAAAAACCAGTGTTCCACTTCGCAGTTAATAGTGCAAAAGGGGTAGTATTTAGAAATACAGAAGTAACTACTAATAAATCAACAACTAATAAAACTAAGCAACGTTATGATCCATTGTCCTGCTATCTTCCTTGGCATGCAATAGGTTGAAGAAAATACAGTGAATTTCTCCTCCTTAAATTCAAAATTTTGATAGAAAAATTAATATCTTGAAATAAACTAGGTTAGAATAAATCATGGCTAAAAGGAATCATGGTTGATATTCAACTAAAATACAATCTATTTAAAAAACCATCGCATTTAAATATCACATTATGTTAAATACAATCTATTTAAAAAACCATCGCATTTAAATATCACACTATGTTAACTTTTCAAATTATTAAAAATTATATTATGTGTAAAGGAATATAGCTTGGTAATAATACATTAGGCTCACTTTGCAACTCAACACAATTTTCGTATCTCAGATTTATGGAGTTTGTACAAGGGCACTAGCATATTTACAATTTTACATATGTACCACCCTTCTAGTAAAGGGTATTTACATGCCTTACCACCCTTCAATCTAAATAAGAATTGAGTGTTATGTATACAGATCTTCCTATTAAAGATCTCATTAACTCGATTAAAATTTCTCTCGTTATAAAAAAAGAAAAAAATTTCTAATAACGAGGAATTTACATACTTACCACCCTTCTTGGAAATGTCGAAGCCGTCGAGTCCTCTCAAAACTCCAGTGCTCGAAGAGCCTTCTGAGGTGGAAGCGTCTGTCGACGCGATCAAAGCTTTTGCAGCCACAGTTGAAGGTCAAAGCTTCCCGCCAAAGTCCAAGTTCGAAGCTTCATGTTGCTTGTGGTAGAAGGTCGAAGCTTCTGTCGCTTGTGTCTCTTGCAGTAGAAACTTTTGTTGCCTATGTTGATGGTCGAAGTGTCTCATGTGGTCGTGCAATGTTCAAATCACAGACTTCGAACTCAAGCTTCAAATCGAAACTGAAATCGATACTCTCCCCTGAACTCTCAAAATCTCGTAATGGATTTTCTACTCTTTGCGGCTAGCTCCTTCGAATGACCATAACTTTAGGTATTATATCCCTCGCTCGTGAACCGAATCGAGTCGATCGCTTCAGCGCACTTTGAAGCGATATTCAAATGTGAACCGTGTGCTACGCCCA